ACGAGTAGGATTAGGCAGGAAGATAGAGGAAGGAGGGAATGATAAGAGGAGGGGGCAGAGGAGGATGAGGAGGGGAGGGGAGGAGGGTAGGAGGGGGAGGAGAGGCTGAGTACAGGAGGAGGAGGAGGAAGAGGAGGAGGAGGGCCAGGAGGAGGAGAAGGAGGAGGAGAAGGATGATGATGATGCTGCTGCTGATGATGATGATGATGATGATGAGGAGGAGGAGGAGGAGGAGGAGGAGGAGGAGGAGGAGGAGGATTAGTCTGTCTCCGCGCCGTTCTGGGACCCCCAATCGGCATCCTCTTCGCCTATCCCTCCAGGATCGGCGCACGAGCTGCCAGCTCGTGCTGCAGCTGCCCGACTCCGCCCGCGGCATGCCCTTCAGCCGGGTGGTGCACGCCGCGCACGGCCAGAGGCCGCTGCGCTCTACCTGGCAGAGTATGCACTTCGATGGGCTGCTGAAGCAGCGGGAGCTCAGCATCGGGAAAGTTACAGGGAAGCTGGAGAACATCAGGGGAGGAAGAGGTACCCAGTCCCACTCGCGTTATGAACAAACTCACGACGGGATAATTTTGGCTATTTACGTTCTTTGGAGGCCCTCGCCGGGCCTCGGGAGCGTCACAAAACGACTCGGGACGAGAAACCGGTCCCGGGGAAAGGGTCCAGACCTTTGGGGCCGATGTTGTGACAACAAACATCACGACGTCGGGGGTCTGGGTACCGATGCCGCGGCTCATTCTGGTAGATCATGCTCGCAACTTTGGTCGGAATGCACCCCAGGAGAGGTCCGGGGAGCGGGCAGTGGCATCGGTAGTTTTCTCTCCCCTGGAAAGTTGCACCGCCTATATCCGAGGCTATGCCTCCTCTCGGCCTCGCTCTGAGGCTCCGCCGCTTCCTCCCTCCTCTTCTCTGCCTAATTCAAGCTTCGCGCGGCCCGCTTAGCTTCGACCGGAAGAGGTGCGCTCTCGACCCGCGGATCAAAAAATTCTGCCCCCTGGAGAGTGGCCGGGGCCGGCCCTTTCTGTTCTGCGGTCGGGAACTTCTGGACAGCGCGTCGCGCCGCCCTGGCCCACCACGCGTCGGCGCGGCGCGCCGTCCTCTTTCCGGTCCCCAGGCTTCGACGTCCCGAGCTCCCGCCTCCCCCTCCTTCCTCCCTCCCTCCCTCCCTCCACGTGCTTCCTCCCTCTCGCCTCCCTCTCGCCTCCCTCTCCCTCCCTCTCCCTCCCCCTCCCTCCGCGTGCTTCCTCCCTCTCCTCCTCGACTGGCGGCGACTTCACGACGGCTTCGAAGTCTCCGAGCCTCCCGGGCTCCGCGGAGCGGAGCGACGCGCTACCTCCGCCCGCAGGGGACGGCGCGTCGCCGGGCCCGCGGAGCGGCCACACGCAAGGCAGCAGGTTCCGGTTGCCAGAGGCGGCGAGGGGGGCGAGTAGCCTCAGGGGAGAGCAGCACGTGTGTTCGGGTGCGCCGATGATCTCTGTCTTCGAGAAGGGCTCCCAGGCGAATGCGTGTAATTACTGCCCGCCCCTGGGCTATTCGCCCCCATCGTCGCCGCCGAGACTGGTGGTCCTCACCCCCACGGGGCCAGGGCATTTCAGCCCCACCACCCTCCGAGGTGTAAGTCGGGCCTGTCCCTCTACAGGGGGAATGTTCAAAAATAGTAAACCAATAGTTTGGGGACGATTTTTGGACCATTTTGGATTATTGTGGGTTTATTTTTTTCGCCCACAATCCCCCTGTAGGGGGACAGGCCCGACTTAATCCTAGGTGGGTATAGGCCCGGCGAGAACCGAGGGAGCAGGCATATCCCCACCTGGGTGATCAAGTCGGCCAGTGGGGCCAAGGCAGCCCAAGCGGCAATAGGGGTCTGTCCCAGATCGGCGAGGTCTGGATTCTTCCATGCGCGGCCCCCGGAAGTCTGGGCCCTTTGCCGAGGGCCGCTTTTCATCCCGAGCCGTTTTTTTGACTGTCCCGTGGCCCAGGAAGGTCCCCAGGAGGCCGAGAATTGAATGAAACATCTGACCTGTTTTTGTTCAGGACGTTGCACGTCTGGGGGTTTAGATGCATCGGCGCCACCCAAGCATACTGAAACTATAGATGCATCGGCCATGCAAGGGCGACGGGCACGCTCGGAAATCTTTCAGCAGAAGCTCCGTGGCGGGCGCTTTCTGGCCATGCCGCTCGGGAAGCGATGCACGATACGATCTTGAGCTATGTCTTAAGGTCGCACGTGCGTCTCCACCAGAGGCACCTCGTATTAGTGTGTCCTTCTGCGTTGTGAGCACTGGGAGGTCTGGGACGGTCGCGCATGTTATGTCAGGCTACCAGCCGAGAGCATCACTGGAGCAGCAGGACTGACATTCGAGGAGGTCAACGCATTGCGATGGGGGGAGCGCCGCTCAAGCAGCTCTTGACCTCGCGGCAAGCTGCTTGCCGAAGCAAGCGCGCCGCCGAAATGGATTTGACGTCTGCCTTCAGCGTGCCTCGCCTGGAGTGCCAGGGCCCCCTTGTGCGCGGCAGAGGTGCAGACTCCCCCCCGGGACTTTCAACTTATATGTCGCAGAGGGTTCTTTAGATACTGGTTTGCATGCATGCATGGAGGGTGTGTGGGGGGGGCGTGGCGAGGCCCTGCAAGTCAACTTGCCAGAACCTGACTAAGAATCAGACTAGGACGGGGCCAGAACGAGGCGAACTCCGCTCCAGAGAGCGCTCTGGAACGCTCTGAGAGGGCAGCGGCGCCCGAGGCACCCTCCAGAGCCGCCGGATCTGCCCTCGCCAGATGTCATCCTCGTCCCAGCTTCGTCTTCTGAAGCGCCCTCCCCCGGAACGATGCTCAGGAGCGGGCCGGCGAGCACCTGGGGGCAGGCCGCAGCTCCAAGTGGGATGCGCTGCGGCGCCTCACGGGCCGGGCGTCGCCCCTCAGCCCACCGGCCACCTTGCGCGGGGGCCTGGCCGGCGGCCCTGCCGAGCCGCCCGAGCGGACGATCGTGCTGAGGAGCCAGGGGCGGAACATCGCAGGCGGCTTTTCTCCCCCGGCCCCCGACTGGTCGACGAAGAATGAGGCCGCTCAGAACAGGGGAAAAAAACACCCTGGGAGACACCCCAAGTGGGCACGTCGGACGCATCCCCATCGAGGATGGGCGCCCCTTCCTCGCATATCCGAGGGTTGGGCCCCAAGTTTCTGGCCCAGTCGAAGCCACACGAAGCCTGGGGTAGGGGTCGACATATCCGCTGTTAGCAGAAGCGGCACACACACCAAGGCAGCAAACGCCGTGAACGCATCGATCTGGGCCTCCCAGATGGGGTCGGAGCAAGTCGCATCGGAGGATCGCGGCGCGTCGCCGGTGCAGCAGGGATGTGGCTCGACGTGGAGCCCGATCCTCTCCGCGCGGGCGTCGCCGCTGCATCGCTGACGTCGCCGATGGAGCACCGATGCGATCCTCCGACCCCATCTGCTGCGACCCCAGCCAGGAGGCCTCCAGGGATCGAGGGAGGAAAAACGGCATGAACCCAGACGTGGCGCCGTCTGCTCTGCTCGCGTCGCAGGGGCTCTGTGCTGGGGCGGCGGTCATGGCCAACACGGGGCCGCATGGCCCCGTTGGGGCATGGGGCCAATGCGGGGTCACATCAGCCCCGTTGGAATCCCGAGGGCCCCGGAGAGGGGCCACGCAACATGCCAGCCAACTCGAGCGTGTGGCTGCCGCAAGTTGGCAGCGCTACAAAATAGGCATGGCCACATCCAAAACACGTCGTGAACAAGTCAAGTCGGAAGGGCCCCAGGACCGTCAACAAAACAACCCGGGATGAGAAGCGTCACGGGGAAAGGGTCGGGACCTCTGGGGACCGCCCGAGCCGCCCGAGCGGACGCTCGTGCTGAGGATCGGAGCTGGTGGGGGGGGTGGGCTGAGTCGGCCCAGCATTCTAAGCCTTTCAGAAGGGGTCGGAGTAGATGGGATCGGAGGATCGCGCCGCGTCGGCGATGCATCGACGATGCGCCTCGATGCGGAGCCCGATTTTCTCCGCGCCGACGTCGCCGATGCATCGCCGACGCCGCCAGCGCATCGGCGATGCATCGCCGATGCATCGGCGATGCATCGGCGATGCGGCGCGAACCCCATCTGGGAGGCCTCGAAGCATTGGCTCTGGCCAGCAGGGAGGCGTGGAGAGAGGGGCCGCCTCGCCGCCACGGCTGGACGCGGCTCCAAAAACTGGTCGGTTTCTGAATAATTAAAACCATGATAGTAATAGCAACTATATAACATATACTAATACAATTAACAATTGTCGATTTCGAAAAACGTGGTGCTATTAGTGAAAACGATTGTCGGTTTCAACAAGTGATAGCAGTGATCTGCTATATATACTAAAAAACATGGTACTGTCAGTGAAAACGATTTGTCGGTTTCGACAGCAGACAAGGGGGCCCTGGATGGAATTGTTTCGCACCTTTGGAGCGGATGAGTTGAGGAAGCAAAGGCGGCGTCAACATACACTGTCGCAGCTCCGCGCGGATGTCTCGGATCTGCGCCAGGGCCTTCCTGGCGGCGCCTCCGGCGCCCCCCCCCCCCGGCGCACTGCGCGTGCCAGAGGGGGGGGCCCAGCGCTCCAGGTAGTCCGCGCGGAGCTCCGACGGTTTATGTTTATGCAGTTTTTCGCAGACATGCGATACAGTCGGGGCCCTGAAGAAGGAACCCTTTTGGTTGGGGAGGGGCTCCGCGTTCCTTAAGTGTTTCACAGCTTGCCTCAGGTTTCCCTCATGTTTTCGATAGGAAATCGAAGTTTCACTTATGGGAAAAAGTGGCCTCGTTCCTTATTTAGGGTTCCTTAGGTCAACGCCCCGACTGTATCTGTTTTTTCAATACGCGGTCCCCGGAAGTCCCGACCCTTTTCCTGGGACGGGTTTTTCATCCTGAGTTGCACCCCCGTCCTGTGGTGTCGGTCCTCGTTTCGAGTCCTTCCTTCCTCAGCTTCTTCCCCTCCTCCCTCCTCCCATCCGTGCCTCTGCCCCCCCTTTTTTTTATTTTCTTTCAAATTTCGGCCCACAACTCACACGTTTCGTGGCCCCACATGGAGCTCTCCCGAAGGCCCCAGTGGCAGGGTTCGGATGCGGTACCCGCTTCCATTTCGGCACTCAGGGAGCTCCACCGAAGCCCTCCAGTTGCAGGGTTCGCATGCAGTACCCGCTTCCATTTCGACACTCTCCTCTCACGTTTCGTGGCGCCACAGGGGGCTCCACCGAAGGCCCCACTTGCAGGGTTCGCAAGCGGTATCCGATTGAATTTCGGCTCTCTCTTCGAACGATTAGTGGCCCCGCAGGGAGCTCCACTGAAGGTCGCAGTGGTAGGGCTCGCATGTGGTACCCGCCACAATTCGGTCACACAACTCACACGCTCTGTGGCCCAGTAAGAAGGTTGTCTTCCTTCGATCCACCTGCCTTGCGGATTCCTGACGCCTGCATTGGTTGGGTCTTTCGCCCGGGTCTCTTTTGTTGACGGCCCTGGGGCCCAGAAGAGGGGCCAAACACCTTTCGTCCTGATTTGCTCACGACGTTCACCAGCCTCGAACTTACCCCTATCCCTAAGATTGACAAGGCAAGATGCGATGACAATCTCAGGGATGCGCTCTCTGAAGTTGTCCCATTCCCTAAGATCGGCATCGAGATAAGGCGATGCAAATCATAGGGATAGGGATCGGAGGTTGGGGTGTGTGAGCGGAAGTGGCCCCAACCGGGAAATCGGTTTCGGTTTCGGTTCGTGTCGCGCGTGCGGGCGAGGCGAAGCTGCGCTTGTTCCTGCACTTGTAGAGGCCACATGGAGCCCAAAAAGTCGCCCGCCCCCCCCCGGCTGGGCGCGGCCCCCGATGGTTGTCCCGTGGGTTGTCCCGATGGTTGGCCCGATGGTTGTCCCGATGGTTGTCCCGATGGTTGTCCCGATGGTTGTCCCAATGGGTGTCCCGATGGTTGTCCCGATGATTGTCCCGTTGGGTGTCCCGATCGGTGTCCCGATGGATTTCCCGATGCTTGTCCCGATGGTTGTCCTGATGGTTGTCCCGATGGGTGTCCTCATGGTTGTCCCGATGGTTGTCCCGATGGTTGTCCCGATGGGTGTCCCGATGGTTGTCCAGAAGGTTGTCCCGATGGTTGTCCCGACGGTTGTCACGATGGTTGTCCCGATGGTTGTCCCGATGATTGTCCCGATGGTTGTCCCGATGGTTGTTGCGATGATTGTCCCGATGGTTGTCCCGATGGTTGTCCCGATGGTTGTCCCGATGATTGTCCCGACGGTTGTCCCGATGGTTGTCCGGATGGGTGTCCCGATGACTGTCCCGATGGTTGCCCGGATTGCTGTCCCGATTGTTGTCCTGACGGTTGTCCCGACGGGTGTCCCGATGGTTGTCCCGACGGTTGACCCTACAGAGAGGTCGATAGTTACGTGGAGAAGATAGATAGACCGAGATTCGTAGCACCCCGCAGTTGCGGATAAGAGGGATGGGGGCGGCGAGGACGTCGTCAGTCTGCGAGGCTCTGAAGAAGCCCACCGCAGGCGCCTAACTTTTACAAATTATGCAGTGAGCCTGCCGCAGGCGCCGATTTTTTTTGTTGACGCAATGTGGGTGGATCGCGGGGTGGGTCGCGGGTGGGTCGCGAGTGGGTCGCGGGCCGGGTCGCAGATATGTCGCGGGTGGGTCGCGTATGGATCGCGGGTGGGTCGCGGGTGGGTCGGGGGTGGTCGCGGGGTGGGTCGCGGATGGGTCGCGGTGTGGGTCGCAGGATGGGTCGCGGGGTGGGTCGCGGGTGGGGTCGCGTGTGGGTCGCGGGGTGGGTATCGGAGTGGGTCGCGGGTGGGTCGCGGGCGAGTCACGGGGTGGGTCGCAGGATGGGTCGCGGGTGGGTCGCGGGGTGGGTCGCGGGGTGGGTCGCGGGGTGGGTCGCGGGATGGGTCGCGGGCTGGGTCGCGGGTGGGTCGCGGGGGGGACGACGACAACAACAACAAGCATAATCCCCACCATGGATCCCCACTTCAGCCACGCACCCAGGGACTATGAATGACCGCTCGGCCCCCTCACATTGATATACATAGATAGATAGGTCATATATATATATATGTATATATATGTTTGTGTAGATATTGGAAGCAAGCGGAATTAGGTCGTATTGTTTTGCCCGCGCACTTTTTGGTCGCGCACTCTTTGGTGGCGGCAGGTGGGAATCATCGCATATCGACCGCCTCCCCTTTCCCCCCAAACCTCCTTGTCACCCGTAGGGTGGTCCTATCGGTATGTTTCAGACTGGTAAGTTGGATGTCTCGGTCTACGTCGGATGAGGAGGAGGAGGAGGAGGAGGAGGAGGAGGAGGAGGAGGAGGAGGAGGAGGAGGAGGAGGAGGATGAGGAGCAGCAGGAGGAGGAGGAGGAGGAGGAGGAGGAGGAGGAGGAGGAGGAGCAGGAGCAGGAGCAGGAGCAGGAGGAGTTTCTTGGCCCTCTGGAGGAAGAGCTCCGTGCTCGACCTGCTCGGGGCTGACGTTGAGCGCTACGAGCGCCGGGCCTGGCAGGTCCGGTCCCTGGAGGAGGCTGTCAGGGGCAACGTCAGGGGTGGATGGGCTCAGGGGGGATCGGCTCAGAGGGGTCGGATGGAGGCTCGAGGTTTCGAGCTTCGAGGTTTGAGGTCTTCGGGCTTCGAGGTTTGAGGTTTTCGTGAGTTGTCGTGGGTTCCCTGCGGTTTGCCAGTGGGGATCCGCTCAGGGTCTGCGTCACCCCAACATACTAAACTATGTGTTTGTCGCCCCCCCAAGGGCCGACGCGCGCGCCGAGACACCTTACAGTATAAGCTCCGTGGCGGGCGCTTTCTGGTCATACCGTTCGGGAGACGATATCCTACAAGATGGCTCTGCTAGATGCTCCGGTCGGGCGCACGCCTCCAAGGACGTGGAGGAAATCTATTCTAGTATGTCCACGTGCGTCTCACATGGGGGGGCGAATATGCTTTCCGAGCTTCGAGGTTTGGGGTTTTCGGGCGTGTTCGTGGGTTCTCTGCGGTTTTCCAGTGCCTGGGGATGCTCTCCAGCAGCTGCGCCTCGCCGAGAGCGTTCTGGGGGTGCCCTCATGGTCTCGAATGGCCGCCAGAGGCCCGAACTATGACCCGAAAGGTATGAGGGGATAGGCTCAGGAGGGTGTGAGGCTGGCGCATCGACCCCCAATCGCCCATTGATCGCCGCTAGGGGCCCGAGAGCTCCATCCCGCCCAGGACCGTGCGGATTCGTTATCGGAGGCCTATCGCCGATCTGTTTGCGACGTACCGCCGCTTCCAGGTCGATGCCCTCCCCCCGCCTGAAACAGTCCCCCACGAACGTTGCCCCTCAGGCTGGCGTGATCGCAAGGTGGAACAGGGACAACGCCGGCGCGGCCATCGAGCCGGGGGACGTCATCGTGGAGGTGGCAGGGCCAGACGTGCTCGTGTCGTGGAGAAAATATCAAGACGGCAGGTTTTTGTTCGTTTTCGGCCTCTGAGGGCCCTCGCTGGTCCGTGGGACCGCCAATAAGATGATCGGCCCGCAAACCTGGAAAGGGATATAGAACTGCCCTCACTTGGCAATGGGCAGTAGCAATGCTGAGAATACCCTTGGTGATGATGCCGTGCCAGGGGTTGTGCTGTGCTGCGCTGCGCTATGCTGTGCCTTGATGTGCCTCACTGTGCTACGTCATTCTGTGTTGAGCAGTGCTGCACTCTATGGCGTGTGGATCCAGTCGTCCTTGGCGTCCGTATTTTGACCGGACTGTTTCGTTTTCTTGCCCGAGCTGCATGAACGCATGGCTCGCCTGGAGCTGGTTGTAGTCGAGACGCGCGGGCCTTCGAGCAGCTCGAGGTCGAGATCCGATCCAGTTCCGAAGCTGCACGAACCGAGGGGACGTCTTCAGGAACGCGCTAGCGGACGTTGCAAGGGAAGCGCCAGGTGACGCGCCACGGAACGGGCAGGGGAAGCGCTAGAAGACGAGCCAGGGAACGCGCCAGAGGACGAGCCGGGGATCGTGCCACGGGACGCGCCAGTGGACGTGCCAGTGGACGTGTCAGTGGACGCACGTGACAATGGAAGCGCCAGCGGACATACCAGGGAACGTGCCAAGGAACGTGCCCTGGGATGCGCCACGGAACGCATCAGGGGACGCGCCGCAGACGTGCCGTGGGACGAGCCAGGGGACGACCCACCCTGTTCTGTAAGTCTTCTCCGATGGGTCCGCGCTTCGAAGGCTACGATCTTTTTAGTAAATTACGCTAGAGCCAACCTCCCAGCGCCGCGACCTTTCACAAATTACACTGGATCCGCGCTTCCACCGCCACAATCCTTAGTGAAGTGCATTGGATTCGTGCTCACAGGGGCCACGATCCACTGTAACTTACGCTGCGTCCGCACTCCCAGGGCCACGGCCCATGGCAAATGGCGCCGGGCCCGCGCTGAAAGGGCCACGATCTTTGTCAATGGCGCTGCGTCCGCGCTCCCAGGGTCACAGTTCCTCGTGAATTAGTTCGCGTCCGCGCTCCCAGAGCCACGGTCCCTGGCGATTTGCGCTGCGTCAGCGCTCCCAGGGCCACGATCCCTCGTACTTTCTGCTTCCGCGCTCCCACAGGGCCACAATCCGTAGTAGATTGCGCTGCGTCCAAGCTCCAGTGGCAACGATCACTTGTGAACCGCGCTGCGTCCGTCCCAGGGCCACAGCCCTTGTAAATGACGCTGCGCCCGCGCTTCCAAGGCTGCGATCCATGACAGGTGGCGCAGGGCTCCGGCTCCCAGGGCATCCCAACGCGCCCATTGGTCTCCTGGGCCTTCTGGGATTTTCGCCGTGTGCTTGTCTTCGTCGAGAGCCCGACGTGCGGGGGGCGGACTGTCTTCGAGCGGAGGCACTCACGGAATACACGGTTCTTTTTGAACATGTGATTTTATGCTTGCTTTTATCGAGCGTATTTCCGTTGGCCTCCTTTAGAGGAGGCGCTGGGGTTACGATGCCCCAACCTACTGTAGCCTTGACCGCCAGAAACAATGTTCGGCACCAAGAAAGTATTAACATTTGGGGGTTTTCACGTGTCGGGTCCTGGGAGGCGATGCTCGTTCGACACTGTTTCGATACTTTTCTGGGTGCTCGAGATTATTTCTGGGATGTGGTCCTCAAGTAGGATGGGAGCAACACAACACTGGGGGACAGGTCTACCCACCATCAGAAGACCCTGGGCTCGCACCCTGTCCGGGGAACAAACAGACCGGGATGAAAAACTGGTTATGAGGATGAGGATGAGGAGGAGGAGGAGGAGGAGGAGGAGGAGGAGGAGGAGGAGCAGGAGGAGGAGGAGGAGGAGGCGGAGGCGCAGGAGGAGGAGGAGGAGGCGGAAGAGGAGAAGGTGGAGGCGGAGGAGGAGGCGGAAGAGGAGGAGTAGAGGAGGAGGAGGAGGAGGAGGAGGAGGAGGAGGAGGATTGTGCTAGGATTGTGCTACTTAGGACTTACGCAGATGGAGAGCACCACGCAAGCCGCCTTCGCCGTGTAAGTTATTACTTACAAGGGCTTCCCTGTGGATGGATGGCGGCCCTCCCACAAACGCGTCAGTCGACCCTTGGCCGTCCGAGCTCGGGCGGGCTTGCAGCCCTCCTTCACTAGGTTCGTCCACTTACACTGAGCGTAGGAAGCGCATCGCCTGCAGAAAACAACATTGGGGCGAAACACAAGGTGGTGCCCTAGCCCTTGTGCCTTAAGAATGCGTGCCTGTCGGGCTTCGAATTCGACAGATTCTGCGCCCGACGGCCCGCTCTGAGTCTGGTTGGGGGCCCTGGGATCTTCCTGGTCCCTGGGGCCCACAGACGGGGAAGGGGGAGGCATCAGAGGAGGAGCAGGATTCGACTCGGCGGCCTGGCTCGGGGCTGGTCCTCTGATGCTGCTCGGTTCGACATCTGTAATCGTATCGACGACGTCGGACGACATTGCGCCGAGCCTAACAGCAAATTCCAGGGCATCTGCTACCATGCTATACTTCTGCTGATATGCCTGTCGCTGCCAGAAAGGGTGCGCACACAACTTAGCCCCCTTCTTCGCGTATTCGTCCGCGAAGCGGTTGCCTCTGAACAGTCTCTCGTCTATCTCTCGCCGCTGGGCTCGAGTGGCGTGGGCCTTTATTTATATTATCTGGATGGTCCTGGGGCCCAGCCCTCCAAGATCTTTCACCAGACACCAGAACTCTCGCCAGAGATCACTGTGAGCCCTGGCAGGTGACGTGCACCACTCCTCCCCTCTGGAAGTTCCGTCTACTACAGCCTGACAGTCACAATAGATTTTGAGGGGCGGCATCGCGCACCTCAGCACCTGAAGGATGGCGTACAGTTCAGACGGGTATATCCCTTGTCGATTTTGTGGCAGGGGGGGGGGGGGGAACGCTGAAAAAGCAAGGCTCACCCCCGAGGCATCGAGGGTGGCGAAGCTCCACCCCGCACGCCGAAGAGGAATCAATTCACCGTGCAAGAGAGATCCATCTGTGAAAACCTCTCCTGTGATGGCTCCTGGATGTTCGCCCTCATGCTGGACCTCGAACGAGACTGGCAGAACATCCAGGAGCTCTACTGGGTCCTCGGAGATACCTCTGGCCCAGAGTGACTCGAAGCCTGGGAACGGGTTTGCTCCTCTGTGCTGCACGTGCCTGCCGCCTACACGCCTGCGCATCGCATCTCGCGCGCTGCATGCATACGTGCGGCGCAGGTCCGTTCCTACAGCACTCATGCATGCCTGGCACTGGTCGGTCGTCGCACGACCAGCCTTAAACATTCTCTGTTGGGGCCACGTGCCTCCCGCAAGCAAGGTTTGGGCCCGCGTGCGATGCTCTGCGGTCCACTTTTCAGACAGGGGCCTGCGGAGCAACATTCTAATCGGCTCCAGAAAGACGCTCTTAGAGGCATTCACCTCAGGACCCCAACGCGCAAGCCAGCCGCTCTGAAGCCCAGAATGTGTGGCCTGGCGCACGAGGGAGTGAAGGTAGTACACATCAATCTGAGCCAAATCGTGCACCTCTGTCCCGCATGTGACTGTAGCTGGGCTCTGGGTGCTCCAACCGAGGCGAATTACAGTTGCAATGAACGCGCCTGCTGGTCCTCTCACTAGGCCCCACGGCCTCGGATGCCCGTGGAGTCGCATGACCCGCGAGCGCCAGCTCGCCACCAGGAGGTCCCGCGTGGCCATGTCCGTCGCCTCCTGCCACGCCCTGGCCCATTCCACGACGGGCCCCGCGTTGGCGACCACGGCAGGGTCCGCGCCCTCCGCCAGCAGCACCAGCGCGGCCGACCTTCCCTTGTTGCATCCAGGGAAGGCCGCTGCCACAGTCTGCCTGAGCGTGGTGATCAGCGTGTCCGTGGCGCCCTGCACGCGCGTGCCGTAGAGCTCCGACGGCGCGATCCCGAGCCTGACCACCTTCTCCGCTGCACCTCCTGCGGCCTTGACCCGCTGGATCTTCCAGCTCCTGGCCTTGGCCTTGGCCTTGATCCTCTTGGACTGGGCTCCGACACGTCGTCGTCGCGCAGCTGATTGGGTCACGCCCAAGTGCACGGCTTCACGCACCACCTGAATGCCCATCTGCTTGTTCTGGCTGCCCAGCTGCCGCTCCACCTTGCCATGCGAGACTGCGACTGCGGTCTTGCCGTCCCTGCCTCTCGAGACCTGCAGCTTGGGCACCTGCTCGAGAGCGAAGACGATCTCGTCAGTCAGCTTCATGTGGAGCGCTGCCACGGCGGTCACGTCGCCCCTGGTCGACGCCGCGAGGTCGTCGAAGTAGAGGCACATGTCGGCCCTCGGGTTCGCTATATAGAGGTCGCCGATAGCGCCGATGAGCACGAGGGACAAACACAGTGGGCCGAACACGGATCCTGCCACGATCCCTTGCGCCCAGAAGTTGCCCTCGGTGTAACACCCATTCAGCACCGCTCTCCTCATCAAAGAAAATGCTCTCAATATGACACGCAGCAAGGGCCTTGGGAATCCCCAGCGCAGGCCACCGCTCCAAATGAGAGAATGCAGCACGGTCTCGTAGCACTTCCTCAAGTCGTAACATGTGGTGGCGATGGCTTCGCCCTGCGCCAACGACCCTTCAGCTAGGAGGCCCTGCGTCCAGGCCGCTCGTTCAGCAGACCTGCCCTTCGCAGCCCAATCATATGCTCGTGGATTTCGGCTTTGCCATTTCTGGATCTCGGGGCGCCTGATCTTCTCCCATACTCGTGCGAAATCTGGTAGAATCCCCAAATTCCTCATGCCGCCCTTGGGCTTGGGCTGAAGCCAGAAAATGATGCACTGCTGCGAGACGGGCCAGTCGAATCCGCGCTCGATGCAGTTCAGGATACTCGCCAGACCTGCTAGGCCAACAGCTGGCCCTTGGGCCCACAGCCTGGGGTGGATGTTGGACTCGCCCAGGCCCGTCTTGGGGGAGAAAGCCTTGCAGGCGTGCAGCACGTGGTGGCCGAGGATAGGCGGTAGCATGGGCTCGTCTACCGCAGGCGGCTCGAACCATGGCGCAGCCCAATTCACCTGGTAACGCCATATGCCCTCCCACTCCTGCAACGCTGTGTTGGCGGCTGTCTGCGGGTCCATCATGGCGACGTGCTGGGGCGTCTCACCCGCAGTGGCAGTCTGTGGAGGCTCGCCGAGTCTGGGTTTTGCCTCCCTCGTATTCTGTGGTATCAAGGGCTCCCACGGGACCTTCGGCTTGGTCCACTTGTGCAGGGCCCCCGCGGGCTTCTCGCTGTGGTTGCGAACGCATGCCCGCCAGGACTTGGTGGCTTCCTTGAGCTCGCTCTGCCTCGCCTCGTCGGCCTCGCTCGCCGCGACCTGCTGCCAGTACTTGAGGTACTCCAGGGTCTCTCTCAGCTTCTGCTGCTCTTTCATGCATTCCAGGATGGTCTCGAGGACGTGGGGCCACGGGGTCTTCAGCTCCTCTCCATACTGGTGGAGTTGTGCGAGGGCCCACTGCTGGGTCATCGCCTCCTTGATGGACTTGATGTGGCTCGCCTCCTGGCCGCCTGCCTCGCGCGAGTCGCTGCTGAGGCTGTGGACCAGGTCCCGCAGGATACTCGCCACCCATTCTGTTGCCATAGTTCGCGCCGTCGGGGCTCCCTTGTCCCTGACCGTCGGGGGCGCTAGCTCTCGCATCTTGTAGACAGCCTTTTCGCCATGCCCACTGTGGGCCAGCAGCTCGTCGCCGTCAAAGCAGTGATATCTGTTCCAGTGCATCTCGTAGGCGTGCATGAGATCGTGCCAGAAGGCGTTCAGAGTCTCGTGGTCGACACGCTCCCTACGGAGAGGACGTGGTCACTGCGCTGGTGGGGTAGGGCACCCTGTTGGCACAGTCAAAGGCCACGATACCTTCTGTATGAGCTGGAGGGCCTGTTGCACAGGCGATCGGCGTCCTATCTTCATCATGATGGGCCTATGGGGCTTGGCCGCAAAAGCCGTCATGACTTCCGCTCGAAGCCCATTCTCCAGCAAACTCTCCGAGACGATAAAGTAGTCCCTGACCGAGTAGTTGCCCGTACTTCCCCTGCACGTGCCTTCACTCTTGTCGTAGACCAGGTGCCCCTTCAGCTTGGCGATGATACCCGTGCTCATCAGCTCGTGAGGCTCCA